CAAACGAGATAATTTTATTAAAAAAATAAACAATCTCTTTGTTAAAATCCTTTTTAATCGAAGAAAAATAATTTAGAGTTTTGAATCACTGTTAAAATATACCCTTCCAATCCTTTACTCTCTTTAAACATAATATCTCTTATCTCTGATTAATTTCATAGATATTTAAATACTTTTATTATATCAATTCTATTTTTTTTATTGTAAAACTTTTATTGTACCTGAAATGTATTTGTGTTTCTTTTGTTTCAGCATTAATGATCGGATCATTCTGAAGAAAAGAAGATTTCGTAAGGCGGACAGTTGAATACAAGGCGAAGAATGCGATTGCTCACCCGCGATCGCACGATCGATTCCGTGTAAGAACGATTGCACGGACTGTGACAGTATGTTACGATCGCGAATTTATGTCAGATAATAGCACGTTGCATTATGACTGGGCGCCCGCGATAATAATAGCGATACCCACGGCGATTTGCTCCAGCTTGCATACGAATGAGCCTTCGTTAAGGCTGCCGTATGCAAGTTCGCACGCGCGCAAAATATAGAATGACTATTGAACGAATTATGCGAGGAATGTCGACGGCATGTGTCGAGTAATCGTCGTCGTCGTTTCTGAAGTCTGTGCATTCCGCGCGAATCCGATCGCATTACGTTTCATTGTCACGTTATGTCTTTATACCTTTTTTTTATCATCGCTCAAGAAATATTTGAAATTTTTTAGATGAAGAATAAATGAAGAATAAAACAAGGCAAATACATTTCTCCTCGAGGAAATGGAAAAAAAAAAGAATTGAATGGATGAGGCAAAAGAATTGAAAGAATTCATCGAGTTTTTGTTTCTACCGCTATCCGAAGTTTGTGTGCTTGAAAATATTTTACTCGTACATTTTATCTCACGGCGGAAACGTTTCATCTCTTAAAATAATCATCACGAAGTTTATAAAATCTTCTTGATGTTTTAAGAATGACGTAACTTAACTCGTGTCATTATTGCTAACAAAATCCGCCAATTCAACAATCTCGCTGTTTAATAAATTCAACGGGAGTGAAAAGGAAGTATAGGAAGTATATTTCTTCGCATGCATTTACAACATGAAAAAAATTATGTAAAATTAAAAAAGCTAGTTGTCTTTTAACATGTAATTTTTTTCGTCGAGTTTTCTCGGGACGTTTCGTATTATCATTAAAGGAAATCAGGGCTCGTGAAATGAATTCCAAAAGGTGTAAACTGACCTTGCACCATTGTCGCTGCTCTGGAAAGGACGTCCAAGGCACTCTCGACGGCGGACATAACTTCCCTCCTTCTTTCGTTCTCTCTATTCGAACTTCCTTCTCTTTCTCTCCTCTTCCTTTACTATTCTCTCCTCCTCGCGTACCGCAAAATTTGCGCGCACCTTGAGAACGATTTGTGAATCCTCACTCTTTCCCTCGCAGTGCTTTCCTCGTCGTCGTTGTCGTCTTTGTGACAAGGATACGTCGTCCTTGTCCCGTTTACGCTTCCACGTCGCAAAATGAGATGGTCTGTATAGGGACAAAAGTCGAACTTTAACTGTTTGGGCCTTCCTCGCGGCCGAAGGCGGCGCAAATAAAGTAAAACGGGGATTAAAAAACGTGACATTGTCTGTGGAATGCGGACCCCTCACCGTCGGCGTCCCCCTCTCGCGGGACCTCTTCTCGCGCGACGTATCTAGCAATGGGATCGACACGTTCGCGTTCATGTAACACGTTAACGCCGATTGATAATCGCTTTAATTAGATATTACAATGTTTCCGTGGAAATTTTCTGCGACGTATCACCGAAGGAATTCAGAATTGATTCATTCTTATGATAAAAATATTTTGTAAGCTATTTAAAAACTATAACTACTAATTGTATTTTTTAATTTGAAAACTATAATTTTCAAATTACGAACAATTAAAATATATCTTTTCTTTGAAATTTATATATATATATATTAAATAACAAAATAATTAAAGTTGAGTGATTCTAAAACATTTTTAACATTTTTGATATTCTTCTAATAAAGTAACGCATTTTAAATTCGTTTTTACTCAAATGGCTGCTATTAAGCTGATAGCTGATTTTTTTATTTTTTATGACATCAGAGGGATCTTTTAGTCCGATTTTTTTTTTACGACGCTTTCCTTTCAACTCGCATCATAATTTAAATAAGATTTGCAAGTTTTTCAAACCGTTGATCTTTTACTAAACCATCATTGAAATATATTCCTTTCTACATAATTTCTACTTTTCTAATATTTAAACATTAAGTTTATTTTTATTATGTATATCTTATATGATAATAATTTTTATTTAACATTTTATTAACATTTTATTTAAAACTTACGAATCAGTCATTAGATTTTGATATATGTAATTTACTTTTAATATATACTTTTATATACGTGTAGAATGCGCAAAAACTTTGTATATAAGCATATATTATATATATTATTGTAGTAGAATATATTATATAATTATATAATTATAGCATTGTGACCATTTCTGAAACAGAGCGTAACTTTATACTAAAGCTAGAGCATAACTTTATACTAAAGAGTATATATTATTCATGATTTGAAAGATTCGCAATTCACTACTTGTATAAGCTTTGTGAAACAGTACAATTTGTCGAATTCGCATTCCCTCTCGTTGTTTACCATTCGCGCCGATTTACCAGTGAAGTAATTTTATGACGAAATCAAAGGGCGCGACTCAGTCAATTTGTGTTTGTTCGCGTACTGAGCTGTATTATGCAAACGATAAACCGCGAATCGAAATAGTAGGGAGAGTTTATAATGAACGATGAATTCCTGCGAATCTACAAACTGAAAGAATTGAAACTGACGAATCGATGATGAAACGTAAAACAGCACATACTCTGATGTTAATTTTTAAGATGTTACAGATAAGAAACGATTATTACAGATAAGAAAAGAATAATAAGATAATGAAAATTGACGCAGAGTTGCATCTGATGTCGATCATTTTTATATCGATCATCAATTTTAATGAAAATGAAGAAAATACCACACGGAAAGTGTTGCTTTGTTATACTTTCAAATACATTGATTTGTTTCGATAATTTTACATTTTTTTACATTTTTTTCGAATTGCCAAGATTAAAGATATATTCTTGTACATCTTGTGTTTACATTCTTCCCGAGTTACGAACAAATAAAAATGTATTAATCTTTGAAAAATTCCAATTAAGTAGACCTTTAAGTATGCAATATACATTCCAATACTCTTAGAATCACATTCTTTCTATTGTTTATCCGATATTAAACAAAGATAAGTAATGCTCACAAGCATTCGAAGGATTAAATAGTTTATATCCCTTTCTTCAGTTAGATTAACTTTAATCTTGATGTAATTTACTTTTTATCATTTTCTAATTGCTGGAACTAAAAAAACATAAAAAAATAATACTATTAGATATTTTTCGGCTATTAAGATGGAAAGTCAAGAACTGATACTTAATAACACAGACTTGCGGACTTAATCATTGTACTTACGCTATCATTTCTATCAATTAATCATATTTACGTTTCACTATAATAGACGAACGTTGTCGAATGATGTCTATGTGATAACTTAGACATTAGAAAATTTCCATTAATGTATATCTTTTAACAAAATTCGATAAAAGATACATTCGATATTTTGGTCAAATTTTACAAATACATTTTACAAATACATTTTACAAATATTTTATATAATAAATATCAGATTACACACACAGTTATTTTATCTCTGTCTTACTCTTCTCGTATGAAAATTTCTTTTCGATTTTTCTGCTATGTACCTCGAATCTAGAAATGCAATTCAATTTTTTATGATAATTTATTAATTTTTTTTTTCATTAGACTTCTTTAATATTTAAACATTCTCTTAAAATAAAAAAAAAAGAAAATACCTGATATGATTATATTTCTCATATATTTCGTTCTAAAGGTAAATTTTTGAACGAGGAAGAGGTAAATCTTTGAATTTGAAAATGGAAAGAAAGGATCGTGAGTTGATCGCTTGTTCAAAGCCATTGCTATTTGAATCGCGACCTCTCTCATTCCTTCTTATCCTCCTCGCGTGCTTTTCCCGCTTCTCGCAACACTACCGTACGGTCGACATCACGATTTCATCATAACAATATAAACAACCTTTTATCCGTCTCCCTTCCGTTTTGCACGCTCTGCTCTTTCCGGTGCTTTAGCTTTTTCTTCGTTCTCTTTAGAGAACTGTGAATTTTGTATGAAACAATGAAAATAAAACGACACTTTACCTCTCCTTTAATTCATTAAATTATCTTTTAATTTCCTGTTAAAACTTACAATACTTGATTTCATTAGAATTGTTGAAAATTATCAGATTAACCAATTCCCAGATTATAAGATTAAGAATTGCAATTTCAATTATATGTTATTATTAAATTTTATTCAATAACCATCGTTCAAGTACTTAATATAGAGCCACTTCGCTGGCTCTATATTAACCATCATGGTTTAATAAAAATAAACTGTGTACATATTCTTAATTTCGAATTCTTGGAACGTACTTATCTTCTTAAAAGAAATTTTGCAACCAACAAGACACCGCCCAATTCCGCAGGTCGTCATATTTCTGGAGTTTCTCATATGATAAAGCGACGAGATAAGAGAGGATGAATCTGGTTTACAAAGGCGCGCCGTTCCTCGGCCGTGCCCCTTCCTCTCAGTTTTACGCGAATGGCGCACAGTGTAAACGCTTATGAATCACGACATCGTCAGCCGGCGTACTATTTAAACGAAAGGATGGCCCGAATAAAGTGTATTGCACGAACGCGAAAGTCGCGCATAATGCAACATCATTGTGCGCGAAATGACGTGCATTTGTAAATACAAATCAATGTGAGAGTGTCGGAATTCGGAAGCTTAAACCTTTCGACACGCGCTGCATATGCGAGAAATTTAGCTGTATAATTCACTTACAAATATGTTTATCTCACTCTCTTCCTCGATTCCGTTCAAGAATAAATCTGATCTTTTCACATAAAAATTTTTAACAATGCCAAATCAAAAGATTCGAACAAGCTTCGGTTATCTTGCAATTTCAATCAGTCTTGGATAGATTTAATTTTGTCCGACTTTTTCAATCGCTTTGTCATTTTACTAAATGAATTTTCATTTTCATGTTGTCTTTTGTTTTTATTTCTTAGTTTAGTAATTACAAATGAAAATTACGAATTAAATAAATTACATTCAAATTGCAGATATATAAATTGAACTTTACACATCTTAAAAAAATATGGATATTAGATCTCGATAGAACCGAATAAATTCGTACTGCTTGAATATTCTTTTCAACTTTGGTTTTCTTTTTTGATTGCGGATCGACATTATCGCGAGAATTTAGAACGTACGTGTTCGATTCGATTATTGAGAGCGTTAATTTAACGGTGTGTGATCCATAGAAAAAACGGTGAATCCTCGCACCTTCGACTATAACGTCACGCACGCCACTATAACCACTCGATCGACAGATTCCCACGTGTTATCTTGACCAAAGATTTGACCAAGTATACATGGTGCTCCGAAATTATTCTCCTTATAAAAAAAATACACAAGATATCAGAAACTAAATTAAAAGAAAATTAAAATATTCGGATAATTTTCAAGTAGAATGAGACTTTTAAGAAAGATTTCTATTTCTTCGAAATAAATTTCGGGAAGATAAATAAACGACGTTTATTGTATCTGTTTAAATATAAATAGACTTTCAGTTAATATAATGAAAAAGTTAATAAAATTTTTATAAAACATTTATAAGAATCACTCATAAAGATATTTGTTGTTAAGAACATATTGCATATTACACACTTATTTTTATTTACAATAAAAAATTATAAAAAAATTAGATAAATTAATAGTTATTCTAGATCACATTAAAAGTACAAAAATGTGATAGTTTAGAATCTGGATCAAAAATTATTTAAATATGAAATTAAATGCTTTAATAGAAATGTAATTAAAAAAATAACGAAGGACTCAATTTTTAATATAAGAATACTTTCAAAAAACTATTTTTTTTTCAAGAAGCTGTCTAACTAATAAATTTTTAATTATGATCTTTTCAAATTTAGAATTAAGATTATAAAAATAAATTACAGGAGCTTGTCTTTCAAAAATTATCTAAATTTAATGGAGATGATTTAACATAGAGTGACATTAATAGAAATGTAATTCGTCAGGATATTAAAAGTCGCAAATGTTTCCGATGAATCCTAAGTTTTCGCCAAGAAAAGAACAATTTCAAGTTAACTAAATAATCCGTACACCCCGTATATACGCATACATACAACATATATATACGCACTGAATAGCACGTGGTATGCGGGCGATTATACACGCGACTGCGGAGCTCGAGAACGCGAGAGCTCGAAACCGCCGATCGAGATTTCTCATCGAACGTTCTCGTTGACAAATCCATGAAAAAAAAAATTTCAATCCGAATAAGAATAGCACAAAGTACATTTAAATTTCCTGTCTCAACAGTCTCTCTTTGATTAGATCTCATATCTCAGTAAAATATCTCTATAAAATATAATGAACTGTAAAAATGATTTTTAAAAATACGATTTATAAAGATGCGTTTTATTGGAATTATAAAGAAAAGAGACAAGAATAAAAAAAAATCGTATAAAAAAAAAACGTGATATTTTACAACTGATTTTCCGGAAAAACATTCGATGACAAAGCAACAAGATGTTTCTTTGTACATATTGCGTAAATTTCTTCTTGCATGAGCGCAAAGTAAACAGACGAACTGCCGTAAAAAAAGATAATACATTGTAAAAGAATAAATCGTGATTTCGTAACGATGAAATGACAAAAAAAAAACACGATAAAAAATTTTCAAAATGAAATGAAGAGAACGTGTAAAAAAGCGCATTAACAAAGAAGTTTGCACAAGTAAAAGACAGTTTTGTTCGATTCTTCCTGGTTTCTTGAAGGAATTTGTTTATTTGGATTCGCGTAAACCAGCGTTCCATGTGTTACAACGATCACTTTTCCCCAAACAAAGATCGACTCGGGAAAAGTTCGACGTACCCGGTGGAATTCCAAACGCGAGCGTGTTCCACAGAACTTTTACGCGCCGACAAATGAAACGTCAGGCGAGCTAATCGTTTCTCTCCTATTTGCCGCAATACACTAATGAATGTCGTATCTCCACCAAAAGAAAAGACAATAAAAAAACGTATGTCAAATATGCTTCCGAAGAAAAAAAGAAAGAGAGAAAAAAAAGATATATCGTACATTAAATTTTGTTATATTATTACATTTGTGTTATTATTATTTATCATTGTTATAATTCATATTATCTGATCTGACTTCTCTCTCATAAGTTTTCTGCTGAAAACATCCAGTGGGATGGTAGCCAAGAGACATCTACTTTTATTTGGAAGAGAACAAAGCCCGGTGCTTCCGTAGATTCAATCACTCACGAATTCCTCCGCGTCCAGCGCACTTTCTAAATTTCTGTGCACTTGCGAAAGAGGCAATTTCGATGAAGACGAGATTATAAAACCGTAGAAAGATACAGAGAAGTATCGCGTATAGTCAACGTGTCTTTTGTGTACCTTGAAATTCGAATTTCACGGAGATTAAATCCTTGTAAATGAATGTAAGACTAGATTCATATTTATGAGCGAAAGAGCAGAATGCGGAAAAGCAGAATTTATTTAGAGCTAATCAGAAGTTGCACCGACAGTTAGTCAGAGTCTATTTTTTTCCCTGATTGGCTCTAATAAATTCTTTTCCGCTCCTAATCCAGTGAATTCAGATTAAGGACCGTTTGACTATTCGCGAAAATCCGAACACGTTTAAAATCATATCGATCTTGAGAATGCGACTAAACGACGCTCATTCTACTTGTATTTAATTAAAAATAGAATTCAGATTATAACTCGATATGAAATCCCTACAAAAATTCCGCGGAACGACGAACATGTCGAGAAAGAATCGCGACGAGATTCCAATCATCGTGACTTCGAGCATCACCATTTTAAGAAATGTCGATACTTGCCGGCGCTGATCTCCTTGAAATTCAAATTTCGAATTACGCGAAGAATGCGTGCACGTATAAGCTGCAGCACCAGACTGCACGCGTGATTTTTGCAATTCGTTAATCGCATCAGAATAAATTCGCGAATAGTGCGGACTAGGCAGATTCGTTGAGTTCGAATTTGCCATTTGTGCAGCGAAATTCGTGAGCGGGGCAATTTTTTTTTCGTGGATCGTCGTTCGTACATAAAACTGTAACGAAAACTGTGACGACCTACTCCGCAGTGTGACGGTCCTTTACTAGACCGAAGGACAATTTCTGCGAATGTGTTACGAATCACGCGCAACGTCCGACAGCTATAGTTTCACGTATTGACGTATGAATTCCGAGGAATTCGTTCGTGAAATTCCGAGACACGAGCGAAACGTCAACACTTGTCGGCCTCGCACGTCGAAACTGTCATTCTCACGATGACTTTTTCAACGCGACCTTATGAAAAAAATGAGGTGAAAATCGTGTACCTGACTGCGATATTCTGTAAACGCGATGACGGGCAGAGATCACCGATTGCCGCGGGCCTCTTCGATGTGTCTGTTTTCTCGTCCTACGATCGCACGTGGCGAATTTTATTCCGAATTCTCCGAGATCGCCGACGGTTCCAGGGGATCGCGGGAATAAAATCCGTCGACGATGACGGGCGAGCGCGGTACTCCGAACGATCGTCGCCGTCGGCGCCACCGCCGCGCGGCGCGTCTCTCGAGGTTCGCGGGGAATCAATAGAGGAATGCGGCGTAGCGTAGAAGAATGCAAAAAGAGAGATGAGAAAAAGAGAGGAAGAAAAAGAGCGAGAACGCGCGGGCGCGCGCGTTCTCGCGCGAGGGAGGGATAAAGAGAAACAGAGAAGGAAGACAAGGAGCAAGAAGGAGCGACGAGGCGTACGCGCGCGGCATTCCATGAGAGACCGCGCCGGCACGTCGTTTATTCCCGCCGCGCTTTATTTGATAGTGCGTGCGGGCATTTATTACGTGCGCGCGCGCTCCGGCACGTTATATATATTTTATGCGTGTGCGTTACGCGCTTTACTCACCCGCAGTTCGTCGCTTCCGTCGTCACGGCCGACTGTACGCCGCTCTACATCGCCGCCGCCACCGTTGCCGCTGCCGCTGCCGCTGTCGCTGTCACCGCACCTGCGAAGACTCGCGGTTTCACGCCGCGATGGTGCCCCGCCACGCGCTGACACCCGGGTGAACGCGACGTCGATCGTACGACACTCTCGTCGCCGGCGCGTCGTGCCACGATCGGGAACTCGTTCCCATTGAAAAACACGAAGATCTAATGGTATGCGGGCGGGTGGAGGACGCGCGCGCGCGCGGCACGGCCCGTTTGACACGACAAGCAGCCTCGGCTATTCGTCCTCCTCCTCCCCCATACCTCACCTCACCGGCTGCCTCTTTTACTCTCCTTACGCCCCCACTCTCGCTGGCTCGTGCGCTCGAGCATTACGACGGAATGCGCGGTATGCGGCTCGATCGCCGCACCGCGACGGCAAAATCGTCAAGCTCCTCCCGTTGCGCCGCGGTCACAGCTTTGTGAATACGCCAGCGCAACCTCGTCGCTGCTAGCGATGGTAGATTCTGCGCATGTGCAAACGTCATGTGACGTATCGAATGACTTTTAAGTAGCGTACATATTTCATAAAATTATATGATATCGTTAAATGCATTATATGAGAAGAAATAAATAAATATCGAAAAATATAAAAAAGTCTTTCTCGATTTAAAAATAACTTGCAAATAATTTGTAGATAACAAAGTTTAATCATTTATTGTATCAGCATCGTTGACTTGTTACACAAATGTCAACGATCGTATCGTGTAAATTACAATTATATTAAGATGCTAAGTTAAAAAATATAAAGCAATAAATAATTTGTAATTATTTATATTTTAATTTAATAATTTATATATTTTAATTACTCCTAAAAGATTTTCTAAAGTTTTTACATCTATGCAACGAATATTAATATTCATGCAAAAAATCACAATACTACCGAAATAAGCATAATAATAAACTTTGTTATATTTTAATGTAAATTATTAAATTAAAAATATACGAAGCTGTAGTTATATACAAATGGTACAAATATTTACAAATATTAGACAATATTACAAACATATACAAATATTAGACATTATTACAAATATAAGATAAATGCAATTTTATTAAATAATTTTATTTGAAAGAATAATTTAGACAAAATGTATATTAAATATATTTTATTTATATTTATTTTTAAATATATTTTAAAGAAATTACAATAAATTACACAATATATTGAATATACAAATAATCATGATATTAAAACGCATGTGGGTACCAAAAGCGCATTGCATTATATGTACAGGTACGAGTCTGTCAAGCAATCACGTGGTCCGTCGCACGTGTATAGTTCTGTCACTTCTGTGACAATGTGATTTTCATAAGATTTGTAATATGTAAAATACGTTGACATGTTAAAATGAAATTATAATATGCTTTTTTGTGCAATTTTACTGATAAAATATCTAAATGAAAATAAATTTCATAGTATATATTACATAGTACGTTTTATTTATTAATGAATCTTTTTGTAACAAATAGTTTGGTTAACTTGTGTTTGTATTCTTTGATTTCATAGAGAAGAGATTTTATTAATAACGCAATAAGAAATTTATGCAAAATGAGTTCGGACGATTGCAACGATTATGATAATGATAGACCAAAAACACCATTGGAGGAAGATTGTTGTGGTAGTGGTTGTACACCATGTGTATTCGATGTTCACAAAATGCTGATACAAGAATGTGAAAGTAAAAAAATGCGGACAAAAATTAAAACAGACAATTTATTATCACTTTTATCTTACAAAGCATTTGTTATCACAGATATATCTAATACATCAAAAGATTATTTTTTGATTCGTTTGGAATATCCAGGTATTAGTTCTCAAATCTATCAAATGAAACGAACCATTATTAAAATAAACAAAAAAATAATAAAGATTCATTATTGAATCTAAAAAGTTATTTAAAAAAATTAAATATTAAAAATCTTATTAAAATCTTATTAAAAACAAAATTATATTTAAAAAATATAATATTCTATGTTTCTATTTTTGTATCTTATTACTTTTATCACTTAGAATGCAAAATAAATAACAATGTTGGTTTACACCTCACACCTGGACAATATATCATGCTACATTCTTGGACCAAGTCCCGGCCATACACCCCGATTGATTGGACACACAGAAGTTTAATTTTCTTGATAAAATTATATAAATATGGTGAATTTAGTGTATTGCTTAAAAATGCATCAATTGGCAGTACAATTAACATCAGGGGTCCTTATGGAGATTTTAAGTACGAAAGTAACAGGTATATAAATTGTGAAGATATATGTAAAAATGTTGTAAAAATTATTTCTCTCATGAGTCTTATTTTTCAATGAATATGTTTGATAGTTTTCGACAAATCATCATGTTCAGTATTGGCTCGGGAATAGCGGCGCTTTATCCCATTGCTAAGGCAATTGTCAACGACGAAATGGAATTGACAAGGATACATCTTATTGCAGGATTTAGATCAGTGGCAGAAGTGCCTCTGAAAAAAGAATTAACATATCTAACAGATTATTGGAATTTTAAATGTACTTTACAATTATCTCAATTAAACGGTATAGAATTCTTTCAAACTTTAATAATTAAAATATTAACAATCTATTTAATCAGAAATGAGCTATCAAAATTGCAAATTAAGGATATTTAAATTAAATTTACTAAATCATATTCTTTTAAACGATTATTTCAGACGAGACAGTCAGCCTTCATGGTTTTAATATAAAAGCTGGTCGTTTGAATAAAACACTCGTTATTGATTATCTTCAACCTAATGATACAGAGACAACATTAATTTTAATATGTGGAACTTCAGAATTCAATCAGTTCATGAGAGAATGCCTCCAAGAAATGAATTATACACACATATATATATTTGAATAAAATATAAATATTTTAGGAATTAAATCTATATATATACCTTTATCATTCAATAGAACAGAAAATATTTTCTTTGCAATGTGGACAAGTACCATGGATATGATGAAATACAACTTGATTCCTAGCGTTTGTCTGTAACCACTGTTGTAAAAAAAATTAATCTTATTGAAATATATTTTACATGTTCTCGCTCTACTAGCATCTTTTTAAATGTTTCATCTTTTTTTCATCTTTTTTCAAAAAGAGATTTGATAAAATATTATGGCATTGTATATAAAGTCTTATTATGAATATTTTACTCTGACATACCTTCGACAAACATACTGAATGAAAATGTTTCATGCACTTCTCATTATTACATATCTTATCTGGCAATTCGTCGATTTCTGATTTTTCAGAAAAGCATATGCCGCATTCGTGACTACTAATAATGCCTTTAGACTCGTCTAAACTTTCCTGTTGCTCAGGAAATGCATACAAATTTAACAGTACTAGCAGATTTTCTATAATATTACAATTTTGATCCCAATTCTGTGAAAAAATATATCAATTTTTAAATTAAACATTAGCATTATAATACATATATTTTATGTAAGAAACATACATGAAGATTATTAGAAACATCATCTCTTTGTTTCTTCACTTCATTTTCACTACCTAAAAATTTCATTGTTGGTACAGCGGTTGGATTAAAAGGATCTATTATAATTATCACAGACACAGATTGTGACAAATGAATGCGTCTGTACATATGGCTTTTGTTTGGTTCCAATGGATCAATTACCCAACAATTTCTGATAACAAAATATTTTATATTAGAACATTATTATAACATAATATAGTTTTGACTATTCCTTCAGCAAAAACAAAGTATTTTTTAAAAAATCTTTAAAAAAAAAATGTAAAATAGAAATATTATTCTTCTATATAAACATCACAAATGCATAAAATAACTTACTCGTCAATCTGTTTCAATTGCTCCCATGCTCTTTCCAATATTTCTACTTGCCATTTGAACTTAGTCATCGCAACACTCAAGTTGGTTATACTCTTTTGAAAGTCTTGAAATGGTGGAGTAGTGGGCATGTCGGAAGATATAACTTTCCATGGTATTTCAGTATTGTTACATCTTTGTAAAGTAAGAGATACTCCTCTTAAAGATAACTTGACAGTACTCAAATTCTGATTGCATAAGAGTTGTACATCCTTTAATAACACACAAAAATTTTATCTTTCACAACATTAAGGTCAGAATGTATAGAAAAATGTATTTTGTAACTTCACTTACAGATGGATTCTGAAGAGCTGCTTTCAAATCTTGCAAAAAAGCTTTCGTAGCTTCAAAGTTGATCATATGCATTTTATTATCTGTATTCTGCATATATTTACCCTAATTTACAAATTATATAATTATAATATAGTTTATTAAGAAAAAAGCAACAAACCAATATTTTATACTTACAATGAGTGATTGTAACTGCGTCAAGAATGTTGGTACAGTTTGTGTGCCTTTTATCAATTCTTTTACTTTATCACTGAATTCTCTATTCCGCAAAGAAGCAATATGCCTGCCGAAACTGATTTGTGCATTACAGAATGATGGATAATTAGGCATAACTAATTTTAACTTCACTCTGGAACATTGCCTATCACGTGCAGTCAATGATGAATAAGAAATTACTAAAAAGCCTTGCCAAGTAACGGGTGATTCTGAAATGAGTATCATCTCTGGATGCCAGTCCAAGATCGCGTCGTAATTGTAATTACATGCCATTGCCATTGTCAGCAATTAGAATTTATTAAAACCCAAACGTTTTGCAAAGTTACATGCAATCATATCTGAAAGAGATTAATAGATGTATTTATCAATATCGATGTTTCATAAATGTATTTATCAATATCGATGTTTCTAATCACAGATTATAGATGAGGTTTTTTAATTTATCAATTGACTGCAGAGCAAAGTTGCATTTGCGCATAATGCGATTTATCAATCGAATTAAAAAACTGAATTAAAAAACTTCTTACCACTTGAGATAAAATTAGGAAAAATTCGAAATAAAACTTACGATATAATCGAAAAAGGTAACACTGCACGAATTATAGAGAATCCCTTATAATTCTTTACGGTCTCGAGAGAAATTTATTATGATCAATCGATTTTCAAAACAATCTGGCGGGTAGCATAAATTTTATAATTGTGCGTTTCGATATTCACTGTAATTCACTACTAATATTAAAAATATGTATATTCACATCACATAGATTATCAATATGATGAAGAATATCGAAATGTAACTTATAGCTGAACTACTTGTACTTAAAATGAAATAGTATATATTTGAAGAATTTAGCGAAAGCGAGATAGAAAGTTTTAGTGCAATCCAGTATAACACATAGAGAAGCAAACATCATGTATGTATTAATCTCTACACATAAGCTTACGGCAATAGCCAATCATTCTTTCGTTCTTATGGAAAGTGATATTTTGATTTATTACATTCAAAACACCATCCGAATATCCCTGTGTATCATTTTACCTATGTTTTAGCATCCGATGAACAACCACAAGATAAAGTGATTCACCCAGATACATAGGGTGAATCACTTGAATGATGTTTCCGAACGTAGTTAAAAATGATAAATTGATTGGCTATACGTCACTTTTTTCGCGCGGCAAGCGTTCTATGCAGGAATAAGATGGCGCTGAGATACCTAACCTAACGAAGCAACAGAATACAAGCAAGACGCGCACTGACGCACACAAATTTTTGATATCATTAAGCGAACACTTCATTAACGAGATGGGCCGACGAAAGAGTAAACGAAAACCACCTAGCAAAAAGAAAGCTATTCAACCGTTAGATACGCAATTCAATTGTCCATTCTGCAATCACGAGAAATCATGTGAGGTTAAAATGTAAGTGAACCGGAGAAATGGTTATGATATACACTATCATTAAGTTCCTGTATATTCTTAGAAATAAAATAAAATTGTTTTCCAAGTAATGTATCAGTCTATGACAGATTTTGTTACTTTATAGTTAAAAAAAAATTTTTATGTAGTCAAAAAAAGAAGACAAAAATATGTTTTATTTTAAAGAGTATCCAGGAGCAGACAATGGTGTAAGTCGGCAAAAAAATTTGATAAATTAATAAATTTATAATATAGTAAACTTTTCCTCTTTCTCAAATTCTTTTGTTTGTAACAGGGACAAGTCTAGAAGTACTGCAAGGATAACCTGCAGAGTATGTTTAGAGGACTTTCAGACAACAATAAATTTACTATCAGAACCATTGGATGTGTACAATGATTGGATCGATGCTTGTGAAAATGCTAATTAAATATTAGTATAGCTAGACTTCTAAGATAAGATTTCTACTTTATTATTTATTCTATTTACTTATTTCTACGACAATGCTATGATTGGTTAGTACTTGATAGTTAGTACTTAGTTTTTATTTACATCATTTTCTAAGCTTTATAAATATACTTCAGAAATGAAAGCATGTATTCTTCAGTGTTAGATCAGTGGCGGATCTGTCAGATCTGTCAGATCATAAAACCATTTGTCAAACATGTGTACAATATTGACCAGAAACTTCTAATATTGAAAAAAATAATACAAGCTCTATTGTACAATTACATATAGCGTGAATTTTTAAGAAAGCTAAGTTTTAATAATTTGTATTATAAAACAATAATTTCTGAATGTACAGTCTTTCCAATTTATTAATATGTATTATTTGATTATTTTAATATTAGCAATACTTTAATGTACATCTCTAAGACATAGTACATATTGTATTATATTGTAACGTCTATTTATACATTTTTTCATTGATTTATCACACAATGAAAGAAAATATATATAGAAAATATATTCTATTAAATATTTATAAGTAATTTTTCAGTGTTTTATTAAAATCTTTCGTAATCTTACAAGAATAGTTAAAATTATGATGTATAATTCGCAAGATTTTATGGTATTATTAAAAATTATAAATTTATTACAATTAATAATTATTAAACTAATATATTGTTAAGAAATAAGCACTATATATAACAGTGAATTGTATACAGTTTCTATAAAGTAAAAATGTATTCTGGATAGAATTTTCAATGAAAATCACATAACGAATAAAACTTGCAGAGATTTGATCGCATCAAGCAAAGGTAAGTTTAGTTTAAAATATATTTAGAAATATACATGATTATCAATAGATTCAACAGTGAGAGATCAGAAAATTATTATCAATGATCTTACAGTAATGTTAATTTTTGCTAATGTAAATTTTTTGCTAATGTGTCTTTTTTGAATTCTAAAAAAAAAGAAAAATATAAAATGTAAATTAAACCGAGATAGGAATTAATAAACAGTGATAAAAATAGATAATTGTAATCAAATTCGAACATAAACTTGAAATTCAGACAAAAAACTATCGATAAATATCACATACAATAATACTATCGAATAACTATTGATTTAACGATAATTAACGATAATAGCCCTTCAAGGTCCCTTCAAGGGACCAACATATCTTATCTTGAAATGTAAAGTCCTCCATACAAATTCGAGACGAATTATTCTCGGGAGAAAAGCAACTACGTTTCGAATTCCTAGTCCAATCATACATTATTCGTATCATTCTCGAGTGTTTCATTGTATATAGGTGTCGGTGCGGATGCTCGGGGATTATTCCGGAGCCGCGCAGTCGGTCGTCCCGGTTGTCAACGTTCTCGTGAGTATTCGTGGCTCAACGGTGGTGGTGACGGTGGCGACGGACGTTGGTGCAACGACGGTGGTGCAGCCAAGATGGCGTTCGCTGAGCGGAGTACGCCGTCGGGTAGCAGGAGCGCGTGAAGAGGAAAAAAAAAAGAGATGCCGCGGGGTGCCGCGATGACCACCGACGCTTCGCGCGGGGTGCTCGCGTGAGGTGCGAGGATCGGCCGACGGGAGTGCGTGCGCTCGGGAGTGCGTGCGCGCGGCCGCACCGGGATAATCGACGTTAACCTAAAGTGCGGTGCGCGCGGGGAATAGCGGCGCGGAGCGGCGCGGAGCAGTGCGGTGCGGCGGAGTGACGTGAGTGCGCGCGGCGCGGTTGTGACTCGGCTCGCGAGCCCGACACAACTCGGCTCAGCGACGCGCACGGGGAAATCTTCTCCTCGGCT